GCTCAAAATCTGGAGCAAGTGATACTAGACGTTTTGAAGAAATGGGGGTTAGATATCACAAAATGCAGGGGACAGAGTTACGACAATGCTTCTAACATGTCTGGCAGATACTCTGGCTTGCAGGCGCGAATCAAGGCACACAGTCCCAATGCAGTTTACATTCCCTGCTCTAGCAATAGCTTAAATCTAGTTGGTAATTTGGCTGCAGAATCGTCGCTTTCAGCAGTATCATACTTTGACTTTATTCAAAACGTTTATGTGTGGTTCTCATCATCCACACACAGGTGGAACATACTTAAAAGTCATCTAGTCAAAAGTGGATGCACCACAAAGAAAGTATCGGACACAGAAACACTGCATCAGCTAGAGCGGATGCAGTGTTTGCATTGCATCAGAACTACATTGGTATTCAGGAAGCTCTTCTTCAAGCAGCCGAAGATCGTGATCAGAAGGCGTCTGTAAGAAATGAGGCTAATGCTCTTGCTAATAAAATGGATCTTTTTGAGACTGCATTGATGACTGTTCTTTGGGATACAGTTTTACAGCGGATGAATGCAATCAGCAAATCCCTGCAAAATTCAAATTTATATCTTGATTCTGGTTTAAATTTTCTAGAATCACTAAAGCTTTTTATTAACAATGAAGTCCGAAACGATTTCACTCGTATTGAAAACGAGCAGCATTGCTTATTAACGAGGATCTGAAAGACTGTAAATATCAAGATAAAGTGAGCCGCAAGAAAAAGCGAAAACCGTTTTCTGACGAAAGCAATGAAGCGGAAGTTATTTTAACTGGTCGTGATAATTTTATTGTTAACACAGTAAACGCCATTTCTGATAAATTGATCACGGAACTTGATCACAGAATCGAAGCATACAAAGGTATACATGATTTGTTCAGTCTATTTTTCAAGGACAAGGTAGATGACATGAACACAAAGATCTCGGCCTTGATCGAAGAATACAAAGACGATGTTAATTCTGATACCGCTTGCGATGAAATCAAGCAGTTTTTGCATTTCGCTAAGGAAGAAGGCGCAAAATCTGCGGTAGAGATGTACCAGCTTATAGTGGTGGGTGGACTACAATGTACATTTCCCAATGTGAAAACCCTTCTAAGAATCTTTCTCACCATTCCTATATCAAACGCAACTGGAGAACGGTCATTTTCTGTGTTGAAAAGGATCTAGAATTACTTGCGGAATTCCATCAGCCAATGTAAACTGGGAGATTTGTCTATTTTATGCAATGAATCAAAGGAGACATTAGAATACGATTTCAATGCGCACATTGACTCTTTCGCGAAATTGAAGAGCAGGAAAAAGTTATATAACTGCAATAAACTGTTAATTGTAATTTCTAACTAGTATCTATAGCTGTGGTATCTATGCATGTTAAATAATACATGGATATGAGTGTTCTAACTATTGTTGTATTATGATCATTGAGAGGGCCCCAAATTGGTCGTGCGCCTAGGGCCACAGTTTTTGTAAATACGCCTCTGCTCTGGGGTGTGAAAAAATCCGATGGTTTACAATCGATGACAAATAGCGAGGATAACAAATATAACAAGATAACAATGATTAATTATGTAGCGTAATTCCATCATTCCTGTGACTACATTAATATGTAAAAAAATGTATAAAAGTGTTTAAAAAACATTAACGTAACAAAGCCTCCCTCTAAGATTACAATTTATATTATCTCAAAATTTTTATTTTATTGCCAGACAAAAAATTTCATCCAAAAGTTTATCAATCTCCTCTCGGTCGGAATTCGCTAGCCCCGCCAGGATTCGCGTACAATCCAATCAGCTGATGTGACCATTTGTTCTGTCTAATTATTTTTTGTTTGGTTTTTGTTATAATTATTTTATTTGTAAATAAATAATTGAAAAAAAAATGTTTTTCGAAGTTATCTGGGTCACCTATTTAAGACAATCAACCGAATTCCGCAGATGATTGGAGGATTTTTTTGTTTTTTTTATTTTATGGTTTCTTCTGAGAAGATTTAAAATTTTTTTGAAAAAAGTCTTATGGACTGAATTTTATAAATATAAAAATAATAATCATCTTGTTGGTAATTTACTTTTTTGAATAAAAGCATCTCAAAAATTTGTTTAATTATTCATTTGTTATCACACTGTAATTTTAACTGGTATATATTTTGATAATTTCCATTGCAATTATCATTATCATATTCATCGAAACATCTTATATATCATTAATTTTGCTACTACTGTTATCGGTATCTGTATCAGTAAGCTATTGATGTTATCAACATTTTCATACATCGTCAACACATCAGCACTCTCATACCATAACATCACCTTTCAATTCTGCATCATCATGCTACACGATAACATTCCAAATCATCCACAACAACATGTATGAAAAAATTGAAGCTTCATTGAGCGCTCAAACATACCTTGCAAGCAAAATTAATAACAATTTTGAACGTGTGACGGATTCATATGTGACAACAACTTACGTAATATGACCATGTTACACCGTATCATTTTGACAGAAACTTTTCAACTCTTTAGTAGGAAACAGTTACTGGGAAATGATTTTTAAAAGTTTTATTTTTTGACTTAGTTTGTTTGAATTGTGTCTCCATCCAATGTCTCATATTTCAGCGTTTCATTAATTCAATTTTTTGTTTTAGATACTTTTGAAAAAAATTCATATAAACCAATTTTTAATGAATTGCGTTTAAAATATCCAGATGTAAAAAACAATACGCAAAAATGTCCATATACAAATTGGCTACAAAAAGAATCTTAAAAACATAAAAAAGACAAAACAAAACAAAGAAGAAGAATGAATGGAAACATAACTAGACATGCAGCGTATTATATGATCGTATGCATGCATGCGTCCGTAGGTAGGCGAACAACATTCTTTGTAACATTTATTCCATGCTTTTTGATATAATCTACATTAATAATTGTTCAATTTATAATGAAATTTTTTTTATATGATGTCTTATTTCAAGCTGGAAAGTTTTGTAAAATTGTTTGATAGTACAAAATATTCAAGACATCATGGAGTTTGGAAGTGCTCGTGTAACATGTTTGTTATAATAAGATTTCAGTTGTAATCTATCTAACACGAAACAACGACACATTTTAAGAACAAGAACTAGTTTTTTAATGCATATAAAAATACACCCAAAAGTTGAATTTTTAATTATGGTCAGAAAAAAATTTATAATTAAATTTGTGTTTTTTATAAATCAAAATAAATACGCCTCGTCAGAAGCCATAGAATGTAGATTGAATGTCTCCTACTCGCCTATTCTTGCCCTGAAAAACACGTTTCTATAATTTTTAGTTAATTTATATTATTAGCGCATGTGAAATCATTTTAATGAGCGTTATGTAAGTCATCTGATAATAATAATGATAATAATAATAATAATAATAATGATAATAATAATAATAATACTCGATTTAAATTTTTCTTTTTACTTTTTATGCCATTACATTCTTGCTCATTTATTCTTCTTTGAAACTTCTTCAATATGAGTAGCTTTTAATTAGACGATTCATACAAGCGCAGTTGCTTCAATATTACACACACACACACATACACACGCACACACACAAACAAACAAAAACACACACACACAATAATTTTCATTGAGGTTTTAAGAAAACCGGACGGCAAGCAAACAACGAACAAACAGTACAATTCACACATACTATGTTTAAGACGATAACATCATTTTTTCTTGCTCTTGAATCAAATCATTTCAGTAATGCGACTTAACATTCGTCAAATCCCAACTTGACTACCAAACCTTATCAGCGTCGATTGCATTTTGACAGCCTGGTTTAAGTTGCTGATTGATAGAATGCTAGATTTGTTATCGCTACATCAATCAAAAATTCCTTCCGTCTGATTGACGCCAAAGTTTCGATTGTCTTATACAGAGGTGCCAATGAAACAAATACAAACACAGGGTTACTTTTTTATTTCGAGCTGTCGGCTTGGCTGGTTTAGTGTCAAATAATTAAAGCAGGATATCTTCTTTTGTACATGTTTTGTCGAATTTGTTTGAAGTTGTCAGATTGTTAAGTTTCTTTTTCATGTTTTCCAACTTCATTATTAACTCCTTATACTCATATTCCAAATCTTAAATCAAATTTCAAGTTGTGACCTTAAACAAACGCAACAATTTAAAACTTTGATCGAATTTTAACAAAATTTGTTAAAAGAATATATATTTAATTTTCCATTTATATTTATACCGATCATTACGAAAAATTGCAGCAAAAATAAACGTCAAAATCGGACTGATTGATAATGCAAAATAAAAAAATGATGAATTAATAATATTACTTGCACCTGTGCTCGTCTGAATGACATTGAAATGAATGTAATGTGTTGGACAAATAATGAGTGAGAAACATGCCATATGAGCATTAACAAGCTTGGAACATTTTTGTTAGCATATTTGGAACATTTTTGTTCAATAGATTGATTGAATGGGTAGACACCATTACAATTTGTACATACATGTGTTTGTTAGTTTGATTTGTGATAAATAGTGTTTAAAAGCCCTTGTAACAATCAAGAATAAGTGATTGTAACTCCCATTTGATAACGTTACCTGGGTTAGACTGAAATATTCGGATTGATGACGATATATAAGACTGGAAATGAACTATCATATTTTTTCCACTAAACAATTCATCGAGAACTTGAGTATCAGTAACGACAGGTATTTAGGTTTTATTTTGGGAACGTCTTAATAAAACGGGAATGTTGATTGCGATTGGTGATTGGTGATATATACGAAAATGCTGCTGAGTTCACGTGCAATTGTTCAATTATAGGCTTACTGCTAAATTCTTCATACCCAATATAAATATTTTTCAAATTTTAATATTAAATAGATGAAAAAAGCCAAGTTGCAGCAGGATTCTTTCAGAAAATTAGTTCAGTTAGTCTGATGCATTGATGCCATTAAAATTATATTTTCGCATGCTGTGTCAACACGTATGTACACCTACATGCGTTTGAATGTTTTGAGGCCAGTGAAGAGAAGTCTTCCCTCCACCTAGAGGTCTATTTTTTCAATTAACGTTTCTGCTGAAATAAAATTGATATAAAAAGTTTTTTTTTAGATACTTCACCAAAATAAAATATTTCAAACTAAAATCAATGGAGGTCGCAAAAAATAATGACCAGCAAAAAACTGCAAATTATGTCTTGTCCATGCTTAGTGTCGCGAGTATGGTTTGTGTCATTTTTTGTGTTAAAATCATCCGACAAAAATAAAAGATAAAATCTGGAAAAAAGATTTTCAAATTTTAATAAATACAAGTTATGCAATATGTAATTATTTTTAATCTGATTTGTGTTAAACAATGTTTAAAAACCATTGTAACAACTAAAAATAAATGATTATAACTTCCATTTGATAACCATGGTTTCTAGTATTGATAGAAATTAATGCCCGTTTTTCACTGACAGAAACTCTTCACCATAATTTGAAATTCAATTAATTTCCAATTTTCATCTGATACCCAATAAGAAATATATAAAATTTGAACAAAATTCCACAACATTTGAAAATTTCACGAAAAATATTGTTTGAGTTACTAATTTTCTTATCTTTCTAAAAAATTTTTAATAAATTGTTTGCCCAGTTGAATGTTGTGTTTGTCCTATTGGATGACAAATAGGGCAATGCGAAGAACAATTTTTTTTGCTACAAATTCTTTTAATATAAATTCGTGTATAATGTTTACCACCAATGTTAACATCATCTTTATCCATCTATCTATATTTATCAGTGTGTCAATATTTACAGAATTTATTAAGTTAATATATTCAATATTACGTTATATTTTTTATCAGACAATCAATCAGTCAATAAATCAATCAGTCATTAAATCAATCAATCAATCAGTCAATAAATCAATCAATCAGTCATTAAATCAATCAATCAGTCATTAAATCAATTAATCAATCAGTCAATAAATCAATCAATCAGTCATTAAATCAATCAATCAGTCATTAAATCAATCAATCAATCAGTCATTAAATCAATCAATCAGTCATTAAATCAATCAATCAGTCATTAAATCAATCAATCAATCAATCAATCAGTCAGTCAGTCAGTCAGTCTTTGAAAAAGAAGAAGCAAGAGACCAGCTGAAGTAAAGAGGACACTAGGACGTTATCATCTGTGCCCGCGCGAAACTCATATGTTCTTCTATATGTGTTCCAGGCCCGCTTATCCAGCACATTATATAAACAGTTCAAAAATAAATTTGTGAAAAATGTCCATTAAGTATCTTGTAAATTGTTGATAACTGAAATTTGAAAAAAAAAAACAACATAATTTGCATTTGATTTTTAACAATTTAAAATGACAAAATAATTAAAATTTTACTTATATGGAGTTTGTTGGGAGACTCTCCATACTACCATTTTTTTAGTGGATTATTTGAAAAAATATAATATGCATTTTTAAACATTATAATCATTCACTTAATGCTTACATGTTTCAATAATAATGTGAGCATTTTTTTATTTACCGAAAAAATAAAATCCAAATGAAATCAATCGAAAAATATTAATTATATATCAGAGTTTAAATAATTAAGATGTAAAATATAATGTACGATCCTCTCATGCTCTTTGATCAACAAGTGCTAAAAAAATATTTAAAATCGGTTGAGTAGTGTTTTTGTTACAATATATGCTATATGACGAGCGAATTACCACGTTAATCAATTTACCATTAAAAGATTTCGGCCACAAAATTTTAAACAACGTTAGATTAAAATTGTTATAAAAACC